GATGCCAGAAATGTAAAAAAATTTTGGGTCTTCGGCTGTTTTGACGAATAATAGATTTTTTCAAATTTGTCATGTATAAATAAAGAGGGGTCAAAAACGGAGGGTTCCGGACTTGCTTTGGGGAAACGGCTAGTAGGGAGTGATAAAGAGGATTATACTGATGCCAGAAATGTAAAAAAATTTTGGGTCTTCGGCTGTTTTGACGAATAATAGATTTTTTCAAATTTGTCATGTATAAATAAAGAGGGGTCAAAAACGGAGGGTTCCGGACTTGGTTTGGGGAAACGGCTAGTAGGGAGTGATAAGGTAGATTATATTGATGCCAGAAATGTAAAAAAATTTTGGGTCTTCGGCTGTTTTGACGAATAATAGATTTTTTCAAATTTCTCATGTATAAATAAAGAGGGGTCAAAAACGGAGGGTTCCGGACTTGCTTCGGGGAAACGGCTAGTAGGGAGTGATAAAGTGGATTAAACTGATGCCAGAAATGTAAAAAAATTGTGGGTCTTCGGCTGTTTTGACGAATAATAGATTTTTTCAAATTTGTCATGTATAAATAAAGAGGGGTCAAAAACGGAGGGTTCCGGACTTGGTTTGGGGAAACGGCTAGTAGGGAGTGATAAGGTAGATTATATTGATGCCAGAAATGTAAAAAAAAATTGGGTCTTCGGCTGTTTTGACGAATAATAGATTTTTTCAAATTTCTCATGTATAAATAAAGAGGGGTCAAAAACGGAGGGTTCCGGACTTGGTTTGGGGAAACGGTTAGTAGGGAGTGATAAGGTAGATTATATTGATGCCAGAAATGTAAAAAAATTTTGGGTCTTCGGCTGTTTTGACGAATAATAGATTTTTTCAAATTTCTCATGTATAAATAAAGAGGGGTCAAAAACGGAGGGTTCCGGACTTGGTTTGGGGAAACGGCTAGTAGAGAGTGATAAGGTAGATTATATTGATGCCAGAAATGTAAAAAAATTTTGGGTCTTCGGCTGTTTTGACGAATAATAGATTTTTTCAAATTTGTCATGTATAAATAAAGAGGGGTCAAAAACGGAGGGTTCCGGACTTGGTTTGGGGAAACGGCTAGCAGGGAGTGATAAAGTGGATTATACTGATGCCAGAAATGTAAAAAAATTTTGGGTCTTCGGCTGTTTTGACGAATAATAGATTTTTTCAAATTTGTCATGTATAAATAAAGAGGGGTCAAAAACGGAGGGTTCCGGACTTGGTTTGGGGAAACGGCTAGTAGGGAGTGATAAAGTGGATTATACTGATGCCAGAAATGTAAAAAAATTTTGGGTCTTCGGCTGTTTTGACGAATAATAGATTTTTCAAATTTGTCATGTATAAATAAAGAGGGGTCAAAAACGGAGGGTTCCGGACTTGGTTTGGGGAAACGGCTAGTAGGGAGTGATAAAGTGGATTATACTGATGCCAGAAATGTAAAAAAATTTTGGGTCTTCGGCTGTTTTGACGAATAATAGATTTTTTCAAATTTGTCATGTATAAATAAAGAGGGGTCAAAAACGGAGGGTTCCGGACTTGGTTTGGGGAAACGGCTAGTAGGGAGTGATAAAGTGGATTATACTGATGCCAGAAATGTAAAAAAATTTTGGGTCTTCGGCTGTTTTGACGAATAATAGATTTTTTCAAATTTGTCATGTATAAATAAAGAGGGGTCAAAAACGGAGGGTTCCGGACTTGCTTTGGGGAAACGGCTAGTAGGGAGTGATAAAGAGGATTATACTGATGCCAGAAATGTAAAAAAATTTTGGGTCTTCGGCTGTTTTGACGGATAATAGATTTTTTCAAATTTGTCGTGTATAAATAAAGAGGGGTCAAAAACGGAGGGTTCCGGACTTGGTTTGGGGAAACGGCTAGTAGGGAGTGATAAGGTAGATTATATTGATGCCAGAAATGTAAAAAAAATTTGGGTCTTCGGCTGTTTTGACGAATAATAGATTTTTTCAAATTTCTCATGTATAAATAAAGAGGGGTCAAAAACGGAGGGTTCCGGACTTGGTTTGGGGAAACGGCTAGTAGGGAGTGATAAGGTAGATTATATTGATGCCAGAAATGTAAAAAAATTTTGGGTCTTCGGCTGTTTTGACGAATAATAGATTTTTTCAAATTTCTCATGTATAAATAAAGAGGGGTCAAAAACGGAGGGTTCCGGACTTGGTTTGGGGAAACGGCTAGTAGGGAGTGAAAAAGTGGATTATACTGATGCCAGAAATGTAAAAAAATTTTGGGTCTTCGGCTGTTTTGACGAATAATAGATTTTTCAAATTTGTCATGTATAAATAAAGAGGGGTCAAAAACGGAGGGTTCCGGACTTGGTTTGGGGAAACGGCTAGTAGGGAGTGATAAAGTGGATTATACTGATGCCAGAAATGTAAAAAAATTTTGGGTCTTCGGCTGTTTTGACGAATAATAGATTTTTTCAAATTTGTCATGTATAAATAAAGAGGGGTCAAAAACGGAGGGTTCCGGACTTGGTTTGGTGAAACGGCTAGTAGGGAGTGATAAGGTAGATTATATTGATGCCAGAAATGTAAAAAAATTTTGGGTCTTCGGCTGTTTTGACGAATAATAGATTTTTTCAAATTTCTCATGTATAAATAAAGAGGGGTCAAAAACGGAGGGTTCCGGACTTGCTTTGGGGAAACGGCTAGTAGGGAGTGATAAAGTGGATTATACTGATGCCAGAAATGTAAAAAAATTTTGGGTCTTCGGCTGTTTTGACGAATAATAGATTTTTTCAAATTTGTCATGTATAAATAAAGAGGGGTCAAAAACGGAGGGTTCCGGACTTGGTTTGGGGAAACGGCTAGTAGGGAGTGATAAAGTGGATTATACTGATGCCAGAAATGTAAAAAATTTTTGGGTCTTCGGCTGTTTTGACGAATAATAGATTTTTTCAAATTTGTCATGTATAAATAAAGAGGGGTCAAAAACGGAGTGTTCCGGACTTGGTTTGGGGAAACGGCTAGCAGGGAGTGATGAAGTAGATTATATTGATGCCAGAAATGTAAAAAAATTTTGGGTCTTCGGCTGTTTTGACGAATAATAGATTTTTTCAAATTTGTCATGTCTAAATAAAGAGGGGTCAAAAACGGAGGGTTCCGGACTTGCTTTGGGGAAACGGCTAGTAGGGAGTGATAAAGTGGATTATACTGATGCCAGAAATGTAAAAAAAATTTGGGTCTTCGGCTGTTTTGACGAATAATAGATTTTTTCAAATTTGTCATGTATAAATAAAGAGGGGTCAAAAACGGAGGGTTCCGGACTTGGTTTGGGGAAACGGCTAGTAGGGAGTGATAAGGTAGATTATATTGATGCCAGAAATGTAAAAAAATTTTGGGTCTTCGGCTGTTTTGACGAATAATAAATTTTTTCAAATTTCTCATGTATAAATAAAGAGGGGTCAAAAACGGAGGGTTCCGGACTTGGTTTGGGGAAACGGCTAGTAGGGAGTGATAAGGTAGATTATATTGATGCCAGAAATGTAAAAAAATTTTGGGTCTTCGGCTGTTTTGACGAATAATAGATTTTTTCAAATTTATCATGTATAAATAAAGAGGGGTCAAAAACGGAGGGTTCCGGACTTGGTTTGGGGAAACGGCTAGTAGGGAGTGATAAAGTGGATCATACTGATGCCAGAAATGTAAAAAAATTTTGGGTCTTCGGCTGTTTTGACGAATAATAGATTTTTTCAAGTTTGTCATGTATAAATAAAGAGGGGTCAAAAACGGAGGGTTCCGGACTTGCTTTGGGGAAACGGCTAGTAGGGAGTGATAAACAGGATTATACTGATGCCAGAAATGTAAAAAAATTTTGGGTCTTCGGCTGTTTTGACGGATAATAGATTTTTTCAAATTTGTCGTGTATAAATAAAGAGGGGTCAAAAACGGAGGGTTCCGGACTTGGTTTGGGGAAACGGCTAGTAGGGAGTGATAAGGTAGATTATATTGATGCCAGAAATGTAAAAAAATTTTGGGTCTTCGGCTGTTTTGACGAATAATAGATTTTTTCAAATTTCTCATGTATAAATAAAGAGGGGTCAAAAACGGAGGGTTCCGGACTTGGTTTGGGGAAACGGCTAGTAGGGAGTGATAAAGTGGATTATACTAATGCCAGAAATGTAAAAAAATTTTGGGTCTTCGGCTGTTTTGACGAATAATAGATTTTTTCAAGTTTGTCATGTATAAATAAAGAGGGGTCAAAAACGGAGGGTTCCGGACTTGGTTTGGGGAAACGGCTGATATGGTGTGATTGACTAGATCATATACATGCGAGAAGTGTCCAAAACATTTTGGTCTTGGGCGGTTTTGAAAAGCTATAGATGATTATATAGCTTCTAAAATATTAGGTTTTAAAGGGGGGTCAATTTGCGGTATCTGTGAACGAGATAGAACGGATTTGAACTTAGCGTAAGTAAAATATGCTTTTTCTAATCAATTGACGTGAAAACCGCATTTCTCCAGGTTTATTTTAATGTAATATCAATTTTTTCGCGTTTCTCCTCACTTTGAGGAAGATTTTGGAGGAGGGAGATAAAACTCTTACAGTACATAGAAAGCCCGTAATACAATCGAACTACGTGAAAACCGCATCGATTTATGTTTATTTGGACCTAAATTACGTCAGTAGAAGTGGTAATGGCAAATTTTCGTCACTGCTGCCTTTTTACCGTTTCGATCAGAGCGTGATCGATCGGAACTTCAGCCGCATCCATTTTCACAAAAACACTTCACATCAACTCAAACAACTGTGCGTCCAAAATGACCGAAACTTTGGTGAGTAACTGTCAACAGATGAACGATATTCACTAGCTTTTATTTACGAGCGCTGCCATACTCACGTTGAGGTCGGAAAATATTCAGACCACCCTCGTATTCATTTCAGGATTCGTTCGTTCATCTGTTGGGATAATGCTATACATTTGACTAGAAAATAACTTGTTAGATAGAATATAGTATTCAAAAATAAAAACTTACATGAGTGAATTGTTGTAATATCCTAGAATGCTCTTCTTGGTACAATTTCCTAGCCTTCCTTTTCTCGCTATACAGAGTGTTCAGTGCGTCAAGACATTTCGACTCCATGTTGTCAGCATTTTGACGGATCAGTTTTGCTGTACTGTCCATTTCTTCCATCATGTTCCGCCAGGATGCACCAACCAAACTGCCTGGTGAACAAAAAAATCTTATTTGAAATTTCACCTGTACATTTAAGAGTTAAATGTTGTTAGGTTAGGTTTTTTGTGAGTTAGTCAATTACGATCCTCTACGACTCACTGGTGTACGAGCCCCTTCCCACTTCAGTTGGACCAACTATTGAAATCTTAGTTTTTTCTTATCAAACACAAATAATAAAAATGTAGCAGGGTGTTATAGGTTTAAAATATTAACAATGAATATTTTGATAATACAGGTATACAGGGTTATCCAAATTAAGTGTCCACCATTAGTAACTTTGTTATTAGTGAAAATACAAAGTTGTTTGAATTAGCAAACTAGTAGCATTTTTAACGCTGGTAAAAATGAGAAATAAAAAAAAACAATTGAGAGTCGTTATTTTGATTTTTTTCAGTAAAATAACATTTTTTTAAATGGAAACCCCTGTATATTATATTTTTTTCTGTTAAAGCATCAAATTTTAAACAAAAAAGTTCATAATGACTTTTCCGCTAAAGTCAAAAATAAAGTCAAAATAACGATAAATATTTTTAATTATTTGCAGTATTATAATATTAAGACGGCTATGAAAACAACATGGCGTTCGCGATTTGACAGCATTAAGATAAGCGACAAATTGTTAAACTGGACATACTCGCAACTAGAAGGCTTTGGAAAACAATGATAAAATCAAATAATGTCAAACATTAGTGTAAATACTTGTTTATAAGCTTTATTGTGTCATTAATTTAAAGAAAAATGTTCTCCCATGAAGAAAAGTGTGATATGTTAGAATGCTATTTAGTGTGCAGAAAATCCTCCTTGAGAGCAAGAGAATACTACAGTGAATTATATCCCGCTCGCATTCAACCGTATGAACGATATTTTCTGAGACTTTATCGAAAATTTAGGGGCAACGAAAATGTTTTTGCTAAAACAAGGGCAAAAAAAGAATTCATAATAAGCGAGGCCACGGAAATTGCAGTTATTGGATATTTTGAACCTTATCGTGAGAATTCAATAGCAGATATTCTCAAGGACTCTAATTTCAGTTATGGTACTGTTCAAAGGATTTTAAAAAAATACAAATTTATTCCGTATAAGTACCGACCAGTTCAAACGCTTTTGGCAGGGGATCCAGAGAGAAGACTTGTTTTTTGCCATTGGTATCTTAGCTTCTGTCGCCAAAATGTAAATAACTTTCGTTACCTTTTATGGACAGATGAATCAAATTTTTCAAATTCTGGAATGTTTAATAGAAAAAACCACCATTATTGGTCAAGAGAAAATCTTTTGTTAGTACATCCAAGAGGCCCACAAGTCCGTTTCAGTTTCAACGTTTGGTGCGGTATAATTGGTTCAAAAATTGTTGGCCCGTTCTTTTATGAGGGAACCCTAACTGGTGAAAGATATGTGGAATTTATGTCAGAAATTCTGACTAATTTCTTAGACGAATTGGATCTTATAAATAGACATCATCTGCATTTTCAGCAAGATGGCGCACCTGCCCACAACTCCAGAGGTACTTATCATTTTCTAAGTTCTACTTTTAATGATCAGTGGATAGGAACAAATGGCCCAATACAGTGGCCTCCCAGATCACCAGATCTAAACCCACTTGATTACTTCTTGTGGGGTTACTTAAAGAACCAAATTTACAAGCGAAGGTACGATAACCTTGACGCGTTAAAGACTGCAGTTAGGGAAAAGATAACCCAGATAGATGGTAGGACCATACTTAAGACAGTTCGAGCAGTTGAAAAACGTGCCCAAAAATGTATTGAAGAACAAGGTGGTGTTTTCGAGCATCTTCTTTAAAAAAAATTGTTATTGTATTTTGTAAGCTTATAAGTTGATGTTGAAAATAAAGTTTGTCGATACAATTTAATTGTTTCAGATTGGAGGCCATAACTTCAACAATTTGTAACCTAGGAGAAAAGTTATTGTGAGCTTTTTTGTTTAAAATTTGATGCTTTAACAGAAAAAAATATAATATACAAGGGTTTCCATTTAAAAAAATGTTATTTTACTGAAAAAATCAAAATAACGACTCTCAATTGTTTTTTTTTATCTCTCATTTTTACCAGCGTTAAAAATGCTACTAGTTTGCTACTTCAAACAACTTTGTATTTTCACTAATAATAAAGTTACTAATGGTGGACACTTAATTTGGATAACCCTGTATAGTAGAAAACACCAACTTTATCACTCCCTAATCAAATTTGCAGTATAAAAATAACACATGTTGCAATTACAGCATATCAATCTATTTTCATTTCAGTGCAAAATATGTCTATAACGCATAGGTGGCTGTGAAAAATACAAGCCATGACAATTGTTTTTATTAATCACAGCTGTCAGAATACGTTTAAAATAGTATTGGGTAGTTAAGGTTTTCAAAATGGGTAGAGGGAAGTTTATTAGTGAGAAAATTCGGTTACTGATAATTAAATTTTTTAATTCTGGGAAATCAAACTCAGAAATTGCAACTTTGTTAGACTTAACGCGGTACAGTGTGAGAAATATTGTTAGAAGATATAACGTAACTGGTTCAGTTAATATTAAGCCATGATATGTGAAAAAAAGTAACATCACAAATGCCGCCCGAAGAGCATTAAAAAGAATAATCCTGAAAAACAGGCGTGCCAATTATTTACAATTAAGTGGCTCTGTGGAGTGACGCTGTTGGAAGGAGAATTTCGAGGTCCACAACTCATAGAGAGGCTCACAAACTGGGACTTAGCACTTGCAAGGTAAGTTTTCTTATAAAAAAAAGTGAAGTAAAAACCCTAAAGTTGCACAACTTGTTTACAGGCCAAAGCAAAGCCACTATTAACTCCTCTGCAAAAGAAAAATCGGCTTAGATATGCTAAAGAATATAGACAATGGACACCTCAACAATGGTGTGCAATACAATGGAGTGATGAGGCCCGATTCGAAGTTTGTGTTGGTGAGAGTCGCAGTAGAGTTATTCGCAAAAAAAAATGAAGCATTCCATGTTGACTGTCTGAAGAGAAAAGTGAAATTTCCAGCATCCATTATGGTCTGTGGCAGTATGTCATCAAAAGGAGTAGGAAAACTTCATTTTATTGATGGATATGAGGATACAAACAAATATTTGGCAATTTTAGAAGAATCGCTATGGAAGAATGTTTGACATCCGGCCAAGATTTTGTGTTTCAGCAAGATGATGCAGCGTGCCATACCTCAAAAAAAGCTATAAAATGGATGGAAGAAAATAATGTACCACTTTTGAAATGGGTTTCTAGCAGTCCGGATCTGTCACCTATTGAAACTTTGTGGCACGAGATGAAAAAGGTTCTACGACAACATCCTGCTCGTACAATCACCGAACTGAGACAAAAGCTTCAAGAAATATGGGATTGTTTTACACCAAATTTTTGCCAAAACTTGGTTAACACTATGCCCCAAAGAATTTCAGCCGTAATAAAAAATAAAGGTGATGTTACCCAATGGTAATCTTCCAATTGTTGCTTTGTTAACTTCGCGCATTTATTCGCACATTGTTTATTTGTTCAGATGTTCTATTAGTTATAGATGTAAGTAATTTCAAATATGTATTTTTTACGACTAGAGTATCTAAAATATTTTTGAGAAAATTAATTGTTTTAGAAGTAAATAGTTTCGTCATATTTAGTTTATAAATCGCTTGGAAAGTTTAGAAATTCAACGCACTTCAGGAGAGAGATGAAAAAAAAACGAATTTTCCCAGGATCGTATCTATTGTGTCCTGGCTTGATTTGTAGTGGGAATTCAAAATAAATTGCACATTAAAATTGCACTTTCTCTCCACTACAAAACGGTTACAAAGTTGAGAAATGTATTAGTTTCTTATTAAAGGTGTAAACAATTGTCAGAAAAACGTGATTATAATCTGGAATACTATATTCCAAATTGCCGGCACCCTAAGTAAATTTGCGCTTTTGAAGTTTTTTATTTTGATAAATATTTTGATGGGGTTCCTGGTTTTTATTTTGTTTGACTGTTAATATCAATAAAATTTGATAATTTCACATTTTTTATTTTCCTATCCCGTTTATCTTGCAATGTTTTTCCAAATAACAAACCAGTATTCCAAATATGCTGAAGTTCCTCTACGACAGGGCTGTCCAACTTAATGTGGCCCAAGGGCCACTTAAAAAAAAATGCAGTTTGGAGGGCCACATCATAAAATCTTTCTATACAACATTATTACTGAGTTTTAATAGGTATATGCATATTCGGTATTTGAGAGTAATTTATACTTGTGATGTAAATACATGACCCGTGAAGCGGGCCGCAAGAAAGGAGTGGGACAGCCCTGCTCTACGACATTCTTAAGAAGAAATAAATGTAATGCTGGAGGTCAAGAGACGAAACGTCATATCGAAATTCTACTTATGTCATCTTATAGAGGAGAAAAAGTTGCAACGTTAATGTGCAATTAATTTTCAAGTCTCGCTCTTAATAAACTATTATGGAAAAATCTAAGTTTTTCTGTCTCTCTACAGAAGAAATTTGAATTTCGAAACATTCTAAGCGGCATTTTGCCCCCATTTCAAGCGATTTCGTATTTCTTACCGTTTCCGTGACCCAATGGTGTCGGTCGAATTTGAGACACCCAGTATATCTATACAATAACGGATCATACACACTTAGGCACTTATAACCGCTTATGAGAACGCCCCGAACAATATGCAATCGATTTAATTATTTTCTTTTTCCATTCTTGTCGTTGAGTTACCGGGTGCCACCCATTATCGGGTTACAACAGGGAGGGGGAATGACATTTAATTTTTTATAAGTGTTCATAGCTAACTTTTTTCTCATAAGGGTCGAAAATACTCGTAATCCTTTTTGAACTGATGACGGCATTGCGCAGGAACTGCAGAGTCAACCCACTTCACGCAATTTTTTCAATTTGTCCAGTAAATACCTTGTCAACACTAATCTTTCGCATGAGGAATATTCCTAATGATAGTTCTTTAACCTATACGCATTTTTTCTCCAATCCACGTAAATCGTCTGATCTCAACCTTGACAACGTCTAGTTAACATAACTGCACCTAGCGACATTTTCACATGTTACGCGTGTTCACGAATATCTCAAATTCTTGTACGTTAGAAATACCGTTAATTTAAACTTTATGAGTCAAGCTCTTAACCCACATAAGCCTACCTTCATTCTATTAATGTGTAGAAGACAGCAGCTTATGCATATTACACTTTGCTTTTTCAATATTGTTGTGCGATGACATTAAATATGCATTCATTTGATATTCTTTTATCTCATATGAGCAGGGTTGCGAAGATTTAAATCAAACGATCAATTAAATTGTTCACTTTTAATCGGGATTTAAATAAAATTATAATGTAATATATACTAAGTGACATATAAATCCGAACACCCAGTTTAAATGGTTTTATTTTAATAAAATTTTGTATAAGTACTTAATGAAGCATAATAAGTAAATGATAAAAATTTCAAAATGATTGCACTGCTATAAAGCCCTTTGACCTTTAATAATGTGTGGATGCACCCTGATGTGCTACGCATTCTCCAACGCGCCTAGGCATGCTTCTGATCAGGTGGTCAATGTCCTCCTGTGGTATCTCATTCCAGGCAACCACCAACTCCTCTCGAAGTGCTTCTAGAGTCTGAGGAGGACGTTGCAAATTGAGCAATCTCCTACCCATCATATCCCACACGTGCTCAATTGGGGATAAGTCGGGAGATCTTGGTGGCCATGGTAACAATGTGACATCATTATGTTGAAAGAAGTCTATTGTGACTCTTGCAACATGTGGTCGGGCATTATCTTGTTGGAAAGTTGGATCTGCCAGGGTGTCAAGATAGGGTAAAAGATGGGGTTCTAGAACCTCGTGGATATAACGCTGCGCGTTCGTGTTACCTCTGATGAAGATTAAAGGTGACCTGGAACCATAAGCTATAGCACCATAAACCATAACTCCAACAGTGTGATGAACATGTCTTTCAACAAAAAACTGTGGATTCCTCCTTTCACCACGTCGCCTTCTAACCCTGGCACGACCATCGTGCATGCCTAAACAAAATCGAGACTCGTCACTAAAGACAATACTGTTCCATTCCTGATCCCAGAGTGACCGTTGTCTGCACCACTCAAGGCGATTACGTCGGTGTTCTCGAGTTAAAGGGAGGACCCAGTGTGGCCGGTATAAAAACAAGCCAAAACTTCTCATTCGTCGGTAAACACTTCGCATGCCAATAGGTCTTCCGTGTTCTGCAAACCATTCATTTGCAATGGACCTGGTAGTGGAGAAACGGTCCCTTAAGGCCAATAATCTTAGGCGGCGATCTTCACGGTCTGTTGTTCTACGGCGGCGTCCAGTGCCCCTTGCTCTTTGCGTACGGCCTTCTCGAAGCCATGCCTGACAACACCTAACCACAGTGTCTACACTTCTTTGCACTCTAACTGCAATTGCCCGAAAAGAAAGTCCAGCTTCCCGAAGTCCCACTATACGGCCCCTATCAAACTCACTAAGTTGACGAAATCGTACAGGTCTCCGTACTCTAGGCATCGTAACCGATCGTAAAGGATGTCAAGAACCAAAATCCGCCAACGTTGATTCTTTACTGCGGCTGAAATATTCATTTTTAGAGCGTTAGTGAATTAAAAAAAAGCAGTATAAAAACCGGAATGTCCAACTGATAAGGCTGAAAATTTTTTCACTTGTTATTTACAGTAAGATAAATACATTCACCAACTTTTATTAAAATAAAACCATTTAAACTGGGTGTTCGGATTTATATGTCACTTAGTTTAATTGCCAAATTTAAGCAAAAAATCAGTAACAAATTGAAAAGTGAAAAAAACGCGATTTAATCGAAAAAATCCGATTTTTTGCAAGACTACATATACGTATAAGTACAGTGGCGTTAATAGAGAAAAAGTAAAAATTCTATTAAAACCCCCTTCTCCCAAAAAGTTTAGGCGCCAGCGTTGCCATTTCTTGGACTGTTACCGGAGGTCCTTTTTCCGTCATCGAAAAATTTTGGAAATACGAGATCTCCTAGGAGTAATTATGAGGAAGGTTGAGCGGGTAATTGACGTGTCTAAGAAACGTGTATCTTTAAGAGGAAATCGGAGTCAATTGGGCATCTAGGAGAATACGTTATTACTTATAACTGAATCGCGGAAATGATATATGTTTATTGGATATAATATGACATGGATATCACGAAAAAACAAGTCACTCATTTCCGTCAGTCGCTCTGTCCGCTAATCTTATAACAGCCTATACTGAGGATGTTCTGTTTCGATGAAATTTTTGCACAATTTTACTACTATGCCAAGGACACAAAATCTTTTTAGTTTTTGAAAAGGCCGAAAACGAAACAAATAAAAATTTCTCACTTCGTTTTTTGACGTTTCAGAGGGTCCTGATCATTTTCAAAATTTTTGTATGGGTTGAAACTTGGGGTTGGGGGTTATAGGAGGAGGGGATGGTGTTTGATTTTTTTTATGTTTGTATATTTATACGCTCGTAGTCCCGTTTATGCACAGACTAGCTATATTTTATACGTCATAGATTTACCGGTGAATTTGCAATTAAAACAATGATAAAGGAATATATACAGGGTAAATTAAGTGTCCACCATTAGTAACTTTGTTATTAGTGAAAATACAAAGTTGTTTGAATTAGCAAACTAGTAGCATTTTTAACGCTGGTAAAAATGAGAAATAAAAAAAAACAATTGAGAGTCGTTATTTTGATTTTTTTCAGTAAAATAACATTTTTTTAAATGGAAACTCCTGTATATTATATTTTTTTCTGTTAAAGCATCAAATTTTAAACAAAAAAGCTTACAATAGCTTTTCTCCTAGGTTACAAATTGTTGAAGTTATGGCCTCCAATCTGAAACAATTAAATTGTATCGACAAACTTTATTTTCAACATCAACTTATAATCTTACAAAATGCAATAACAATTTTTTTTAAAGAAGATGCTCGAAAACACCACCTTGTTCTTCAATACATTTTTGGGCACGTTTTTCAACTGCTCGAACTGTCTTAAGTATGGTCCTACCATCTATCTGGGTTATCTTTTCCCTAACTGCAGTCTTTAACGCGTCAAGGTTATCGTACCTTCGCTTGTAAATTTGGTTCTTTAAGTAACCCCACAAGAAGTAATCAAGTGGGTTTAGATCTGGTGATCTGGGAGGCCACTGTATTGGGCCATTTGTTCCTATCCACTGATCATTAAAAGTAGTACTTAGAAAATGATAAGTACCTCTGGAGTTGTGGGCAGGTGCGCCATCTTGCTGAAAATGCAGATGATGTCTACTTATAAGATCCAATTCGTCTAAGAAATTAGTCAGAATTTCTGACATAAATTCCACATATCTTTCACCAGTTAGGGTTCCCTCATAAAAGAACGGGCCAACAATTTTTGAACCAATTATACCGCACCAAACGTTGAAACTGAAACGGACTTGTGGGCCTCTTGGATGTACTAACAAAAGATTTTCTCTTGACCAATAATGGTGGTTTTTTCTATTAAACATTCCAGAATTTGAAAAATTTGATTCATCTGTCCATAAAAGGTAACGAAAGTTATTTACATTTTGGCGACAGAAGCTAAGATACCAATGGCAAAAAACAAGTCTTCTCTCTGGATCCCCTGCCAAAAGCGTTTGAACTGGTCGGTACTTATACGGAATAAATTTGTATTTTTTTAAAATCCTTTGAACAGTACCATAACTGAAATTAGAGTCCTTGAGAATATCTGCTATTGAATTCTCACGATAAGCTTCAAAATATCCAATAACTGCAATTTCCGTGGCCTCGCTTATTATGAATTCTTTTTTTGCCCTTGTTTTAGCAAAAACATTTTTGTTGCCCCTAAATTTTCGATAAAGTCTCAGAAAATATCGTTCATACGTTTGAATGCGAGCGGGATATAATTCACTGTAGTATTCTCTTGCTCTCAAGGAGGATTTTCTGCACACTAAATAGCATTCTAACATATCACACTTTTCTTCATGGGAGAACATTTTTCTTTAAATTAATGACACAATAAAGCTTATAAACAAGTATTTACACTAATGTTTGACATTATTTGATTTTATCATTGTTTTCCAAAGCCTTCTAGTTGCGAGTATGTCCAGTTTAACAATTTGTCGCTTATCTTAATGCTGTCAAATCGCGAACGCCATGTTGTTTTCATAGCCGTCTTAATATTATAATACTGCAAATAATTAAAAATATTTATCGTTATTTTGACTTTATTTTTGACTTTAGCGGAAAAGTCATTATGAACTTTTTTGTTTAAAATTTGATGCTTTAACAGAAAAAAATATAATATACAGGGGTTTCCATTTAAAAAAATGTTATTTTACTGAAAAAAATCAAAATAACGACTCTCAATTGTTTTTTTTTATTTCTCATTTTTACCAGCGTTAAAAATGCTACTAGTTTGCTAATTTAAACAACTTTGTATTTTTACTAATAACAAAGTTACCAATGGTGGACACTTAATTTGGATAACCCTGTATAGGAAAATAATGGGCAAAATCCGCAAAAAGTAGATTCGAGCATAAAATAGGATAGGTAACCCGAGCGATACTTATTTCTGCTGGTTGGCTTCATCAGGCCCGAAATGAATGCACATATGCAACTACAAAAGTAGA